AACTCCCAGAATTCCCCAGCCAGCATGGGGAATTCTGGGAGTTGAAGTCCACACTTCTTAAAGGTGCCAAGTTTGAAAAAAACTGCCCTAAAGTAGGAGAATGCTAGTTATCTAGCAGCTGGCCAGTTTCACTTCTCCCACTCTGTGGGCCCCGGCTTGCACAATTATAGCAGGATCTGCCTTCCTCTTCTTGGACCGTTTCCCTTTGGTACCTTCGTCCCATAAGTTTATTTCATATTATTTTAAGTGGGGAGATCCTCAGCTAGGGTGTGGGCAGAGGCAAATCAGCTTGGAAAAACCCCAAGCTCGGCCCCTCCCCATCCCTGCTGCAATGTCCGGATTGGTGAATTTTGTTGCTGCCAGCTGTTAACATACCACATGTGGACGCAGCAAAGGTAGAGCAGAAGAGCAGAGACCTTGTCCATAAGGAGTGGCAGAAGAACAAATCAGGAGAACACCATTTGACAGTGATTTGAAACAGATACGTTAGAGTCAAGATAGGGATTGGCAAGGCGGACAGCAAATTGTAAGTGTTTTGGACCAATTTAAGGATGTGGCTGATGGCACATTAGCGCAGTAGTGGAGAAAGGTGACTCTTACACTGATAACTAAGGGCAGACAGCCCACCTTCTTAGAACAGATTGGGGTCTTTTGTGCTGTATCAAAAGGAGGAGCATCCATAAGGATGGGATGAAAAAAGTCAACCTGGGGGTTGCAACCATGTGACTGAAGTTCTGCCCCTTTCTGGCATGCATTGACTTACTCCTTTTCTGTGGATGCCCCTGGAAGCCAGGGATGAAGGTAGCCAGAATCGAATGGCTTCGAATTGCCTATCAATAGGCTCCACCTTTAAAAACAGAGTTACTTTGCTGGGATTCTTCTGTCCTCCCTTCAAATATTTTTCCTAACCTTATTCATCTAAGCTCAGAGAAGATTGCTTCTTTGCTCTTTTTCTCCAGCCCTGGTCGTTGCTGGGAAGATCTGACAAATGTTTTGAAAGTTTGCCTTCAGCCTCCTTGAATTCTGTAATAGAAAAAGAGGACATACTCTATATCGTGTGTAGAATTCTACATTTAATTTTTCTCTCCTATTCTCTTTCCCATTGTTTAACAGGGCCAGTATGGAAACTATCAGCAATAAAATGACAAGCGCCTGTGTCAAATTTGTTTCAATATTTATGTCCATTTTTGGAACTTGGATGTATGGGCAAGGTTTTTTTTTTTTTTTTAAATGATTGATGGATCGTAAGATGTTGGAAACCGCTGTAGCACAAAGAAGCGTTTGTATGTGAAATAGTATTCATTTCATGCTGGATATGAAACAGTGCATTACTGGTAATAAGGCAATGTTTGAATGGTTTGGTACATTTTGGTGCTGTTAATAATACTTGCAGAGGTTCTTCCGTCACTTGTTCCCACCTCCTCTTTTGATGTATTAAACTCGTTCTAGAAATCAGCAGAGGCCACATATCATTTGTTGACCTGCTTATTGTTTTAACAAGATCATCCCCAACCTAGCGTCCGCCAGATCGGATGGACCACCACCCAGCTGGAAGGTGTTTCTCTGAAGAGTGTTGTATGACAAGCAGGTAACTGAATATATCTTTTGTTTTCTGTTCATCCAGCTGGCTTGGCATTGGAAGATCTCAGCCCAGATACGTTTCAGCTAATCTGGGTGCACTTCCTCTGAAATGCATTGGTCTTCATTGGATCCTAATTGGGCTCGATGTATTTTAAAAAATACTTAATTGATATATGATTTGAACCTAGCTGCGGAAATGCAGGGATATAAATTTGAGATTTGCTCTATATTCTTGATGTGCAGCAGTAATTTTGCACAGCAGTAACTAATCCTCAATTTATTTGATCACTGGAATTTGTTCTTGAACAGATCCAGTGATAGGATGTATGATGGCCTTATGACTCATAACAAGTCAATACCAAGGAAGCATTAACTGCAGAAACATTGGCAAATGTTACAAGGAATGTATATGGAACCTCTAGGAAGGATTGCTTAATTTTCAGTACAGCGATTTTCAGCTTTTGTTCAGCAAATTAAAATGGTTAAGCCATTTACCGTATGTATTTTCACCTTAGTTAATTCCCTCCCAAAAAAACACACTGATTTTCTTCTGCCAGTCACTGATACCACCAGAACATATCTTTTGCACCCTGTGAGGCCAAAATGCAGTTTTTAAAAAATTGGTCCCCAACCCAAGAAAAGTTGCCTATCCTTTGTTTAGCATATTGGGTGAACTGAGTCATTGGTTGATATCTATACGTTTGGCTTAGTGTAGTTTATATGTTGTACCCTCAGAAGACATATGAAGCGGGTTCAACAAACCATGGTTAAAGAATTCTGGCTTAGCATTATAGCTGAACACAGAATATGGTTAGGGAATAGGGACTGCTACTCTAGAGGGACCAACCAGTTCTTTGCAATCTCAGTCTCTTTAATCAAGTAGCACAGTTCACAGCACACCAAAAGCCTCTGAGTGAATAACTGCATTTTCTATAGTGGCTCCATGTCCTCTCCTGCAACATATTTTCCATCCTTCATGTTCAAAAAGGAGCCAGCCATGTACCCTGCCCCAGACATTGCTCAGCCCATCATACAATCATAGGATTATGGAGCAAGTGTGACTTGATTCTAGGTGTTTTATCTTAAGTAGTTACATTCATAAACTGGGTGAGATACTTAACTAGTCCATTCAAAGTGACTGGAATTGTCCCAAGGGATTACTAAATTAAGACATTAATTTAATCAAGATTTAATATCCAGAGAACTGTAGGGAGAGCTAGGGGCCTAGACAAGCTTCCGGAGCATGCCAGCTTTCCCCACTCTTGTGTCTTCCAATTGTCCTGGGACTGCAGCTCCAAAATTCTCAGCCAGAATGACCAACTACAGTACCTATCATTCTGCTGGTCAGCTTGGTACAAGGATGCAGAACAGAACTACAGAACAGAACAGATGCAGTATAATTCAGACTTGTCGTACTACTGAATATCACTTATCTCTCATATATAACCTTTGTATCCTGATATATCTGATGCTGTGAAAAATCTGTTTCCACAGATAGACCAAATCTGCTCACTTGGTATGGAAGAATGTAGCCTATAATATTCTTTAAGGACTTATTTTCAATATGCTTTCATTTACATTTTTGAATATTTTAGATTGTGCTAACGTGGAAAAAAATGAATCTACAGAAAATACAGATGAGAACCCCCTCAAAAAATCTCAGCCCTTGAATGTTTATAGAAACAATGGAATGTTAAAGATGCATCTATAAATAAGAACATCAATGGCCAAACTACTTACATAGGTACTAAGTTAGTAGTTATTAAAAAAACGAAGGTGCTGTGCAAGATATGCTCTGGCCAAATGTATTTTTTTTCCTCTCTTTTTCATCCAAAGGAGCTTACAAAATAAGAATGAACCAATATATATATATAAACAACCAATTAAAAAGGTATCAATTAAAAGAAACCCAATATATCTAGTGCTACTATAGAAAAGCAAACATTTTAAACAACTATAACCCCACCCCACCCAAGAAAACTGACATTTTGAGTGCTGGAACAATGTCTTCCTAGTTTTTATTCTTTTTCTTCCTTTAAAGAAAGATAAATTTCCACTAGGAACAGCTAAAACTCTCTAATATATTCTGCTGTATGATAGAGCAGAATGGGTGGGTGACCTCTGACTCCTCCCGCAGCAATCTCTGCACGGTCCTAGCTGCAGACGACGCCCTCTACAAGTTGTTGAAAAAGGCAATGGAATGTTATAGTCTGCAGCTACTTCGTGGCTATTGGTGCTGAAAGGAGAGGATGAAAATTGCACTGTTAGTCAAAATCAGAGCACTCCTCCAGTTGAGCTAAAGTCTGGATGACTTCATGGACAGCTCCATGTTGTTTTCTGGGCAACCCCATGGGAGAGTTTGCATTCCCTTCTTTCAGGATGGCTTCATCAACTTCCCAGTCTAGATTATCAGCCTCGGATTTCCTGGTTGTCTCCCATCCATGTACTACCCAAGTCCAACCTTGCTTAGTTTTTTCAAGATCAGCCAAGGTTGGGTAGATACCATCCCTTGAGGGGAGATGGCCTGATACTGTGGACCAGTGTTTCTCAACCTTGGCAACTTGAAGATGTGTGGACTTCAACTCCCAGGATTCCCC